ACGACACCCGGGTCCTGCCCGAAAGAATTCGATCCAAGCCTTTTTGCAGCCAAAAACAAGGTTTATTGAAGATTCACCATATTAGCTAGACTCTTAAGGAATCTGAGCATCTATGGGCTATTGCCTAGATTCTAAGAATCAGAGCATCTTAATGGAGACAAGATGGACCTTATATACAGAAAGACTGTGGGAGGGATCTAAGAGTAGCCAAGTAGTTTGGGGTGATGGGAGGAAGGGCCTGAGGAGATCTGGATGGGAGTGGCTAGTAAGCTGGGGTGAACAGAACTCCTGTGACCTGGACCTCGTGGCCAAGGGAGAATGGAGCCTAGCTAGGATTAAGGGTGGGAAATGGGGGGGGGGCCATAGGGAGGTAAGACAATGGAGGGGAGATTGGGTGTAGACAATGAAAGACCAGTTGATGGGATTATAGCCTCAGGGGAACGCCAGAGATTTGGCCTTGTGGGAAAGTCCAGGGTTTTTCCTTTCTGGGGCCCAGATTCCAACCCCATCATATGTGGTACTATTAATATCGTAAAGGGAAATTCTAATGAGGCTAATCCATGGGCATGGCACAAAAGTGCAGAAATTTAGTCTAGACAGTGCTGGTATTTTAGCATACGACCTTGGACCAGTCGTTTTTCTGTGCGTCAGTGACCTCATCAGTAAAATAAAGATAATTTCCAAGACTGATTTCATTCTTAGGAAAGATCGTAAAATTATGAAACTTGATGGTTTCTTAGGAAAGACCATGAAATTATGAAACTTAAAGGTCATGGTGTGGTAGGAATAATGTTGGATTTGGCAGGAGACCTGGATTTGAATCTTGGCTTGGCTGTACTTTCTTTGTGATCCTGGGAACATCACTTACCGCTCTGGCCTACAGTCCTTCCTCTAAAATGGAAGGGTTGGACTAGATGAACGCTAAGGACTCTTCAGCTCATAATCTAAGATCTTCTTGTCTAATAGTATATATTCACATAGCACTGAAAGTGCTCATGGGCATTATCTCATTCAAGCTTTACCACAATCCTGTGAAGGAGATGCGACAGGTATTATTATATATTTTATAGTTGGAAACTGAAATTCACAGTAACCTACCTATGATGACACAGCTAGTGTCAGAGGCAGGTTTTGAACCCAAGTTTTTGGGTTAAACTCTAGGTCCAGCAGGTATATCTACTAAAATGCCTCTCAAGTCCAGCCCCCTTTATTTTACGAATGAGGAAATTGATTAGTCACTAGATGTTTTATTTTTAACATAGACAAATATTAAATTGTCAACAAATTGCCAGCTGAATAAAATCTAATCTCGGGCTTTGGTGATAACATGCTGACATCAATGACCAAAAGAAACTTTGATGAGGATGGGAGCTAATCCCAAAAAGGAAAAACCTTGGACTTTCCCACATGGCCAAATCTATGGTGTTCACCTGAGGCTATAATCCCATCAACTGGCCTTTCTTTGTGGCTACACCCAATCATCCTATTCTGTTAGCCTTAACCTAGCCTAGCCCTCCCAATCTCCCCTAGCCATTTCCCACACTTAATCCTAGCTAGGCCCCATTGTCCAGGTCCCTGGAGTTCTCTTCACCCCAGTTTACTTTCAGATCTTCCTTAGACCCCAAACTACTTGGCCACTCTTAAATCCCTCCCACAGTCTTTCTATATATAAGGTCCATCTTGTCACCATTAAGGTGTTTAGATTCTTGGAGCAGCTAGGTGGCTTAGTGGGTAGAGCACATGCCCTGGAGTCAGGAGGACCTGAGTTCAAATCCAGACTCAGACACATAACACTAGCTGTGTGACTCTGGGCAAGTCACTTAACCCCAATTGCCAAAAAAGAAAAAGAAAAAGCCCTTAGATTCTTAAAATCTAGCCAATACCTCACAGACTCTCAGATTCCTCAAGAGTCTGGCTAATATGGCGGATCTTTAATAAACCTTGTGTTTGGCTGAATGAAGGCTTGGGTCAAATTCTTTCAGGCAGAACCTGTGTGTCGTTGAAGAGGGGCGTTTGAGGTGCTCTTAGATGCACAGAGGCACCCCAAGATTGTGGGAAAAAGCCCAAATCACGGCGCGGATCTGCCTGAATGAATTCAACTCAGATCTTCCAGCCAGAGAAAAAGTTTATTAAAGATAAGCATATAGGCCAGACTCCAAAGGAACCCAAACATCAGTGATCTAAATAGGGTTCAAGGTGGTCAGGTGACTCTCACAAGAAAGAGCAGCGTGAGGCAGTCAGCATGGGGTCTCATCCTCTAGGGGCATGAGAAATTCCATGGGGTCTCATCCTCTAGGGGCATGAGAAATTCCCAGAGCCTGAGTCGGGGCGGGGGTGGATAGGCCATGTGACGCCCTTAGGATGGGCGGACATGAGGTGTCTCAGCTTCTAAGTTTGAGAACAGCTCAGCATCAGAATGGGGGAAAGGTGAGCCTTAAGTACAGACTGATTGGGGTGGGGCCAAGCAGTTTGGGGTGAGGGGAGGAGGGGTCTAGGGAGATCTGGATGGGGGCGGCCAGCAAGCTGGGGCAAAGGCTACACTGGCGCCTAGCTAGGATTAAGGGTGGGAATGGCCAGGAAGGCAAAACAATGGGAAAGCCAGTTGATGGGGGAGGTGGGTCCTTTGGAAAAGGGTCCAGGTGAGAATTTCTGTTTGGAATGTCTGAGTGATTTGAACAGACAATGAGAATAGATAATGAAGGGAGCTGGAAGGGGAAGTTTGCTTTCAAAGGGAAATAAGGCAGTTTCTAAAACGTTAAGGGTTTCCTGGGACCGGTAAACAAAACTGAAGCCAGCTTCTTTTTGTCAAAGAGAGATAAGTGAGTCTACAAGGAATCTTAAAGTTTTAAGGTTTTTCTGGGAATTGTAGGTAAACCTCTTCATTGTGATCTCAGGGTCCCAGCGCCCCTAAACCTGTAGACCTCATCAATACCAGCATAAATCTCTAAAGCAAGCTCTTCCTTCACGTAGACAGAAACTTTTAGATTTTTGTGAGAAAATTTCTATTTCAAAAAATATACTTTGAAATTTGAAAATCAAAGCAATTAAGCTGAGAGTAAAGAAACATTCTTCAACCAATTCCTGTTTATTTTCAAAGGACTATTTAAACTTCTTTCTACTTTCCAAGAATGATTTTCAGATTGGGGAAATAGAAATTAAACTGGATGGACCTCAGAAAAACAGGGAAACTTAAAGCTACCTTCGTAATTGTCCTGCTGGCAGTTAGGCCAAGAAGGAAGGAGAGAAGAGGGGGGAAACGAGTTTCTCAGCCAAAGGAGTTAGGTTTACGTGGTCTACTTCTCCTATTCCTCTCCTGTTGGAGGAGCAGTAATGGTCAAAAATGATTCTGAAAGGCCTTCATTCTCTTCCTGTGGATTAGGAATTAATTATGAGGCAAAACATTAAGTGATGTTCTTTTCCCATTTTTCCCATATTTTTAGAAATTTACGTTAATTACGATAAGAGCATTAGATTGGTTCATCATGCCTTACTGTGTAATAATCTTGAACAAATTACTACCTCTTGATTCAGTTTCATCATGTTTAAAATGAGAGGTTAGCTTTTAAGATCCCTCTCTACTCTAAGAAGAGTGTTTGTTTTGTCTAACTTTGGAATAGTCAGAGTGGCAGTCATTGTATGTTCAGTCTCTTTTCCGAAAGATGTCTCCCAGCTTTGTCCTAACATTGTCCTGGTGAGGTGGTAACTGGGGGTGATTGAAAGGTGACAGAGTAAATCCTTGTACAGAAACTTGTTAAGAAACTAGTTTATTTTTATTTGTAGATATTTTCCCTGCTTCAGGAATCCAAATATAGATTATTTTTAGTTCTCTTCATTTTTGAGCTTATATTCTCTAAGTCTTTAGAGAGTAATGTGGAATATAAGTGTTGAAAACTTATGTAATTTGGGAATGTTACAATTTTTTCTTGGCTCCTATGGTTCATTGTCCTAGGTGGAATGTAACTGAGCCAGAAAATTGTTTGCTACATTGCCAATAGTGTCATTATGTATCTAATTACCAGGTTAAGTACAATTAATAATATCCTAAAATACTTGCTTTTATTTTTTTAATTTTTCAGTGCTTTTTCTGAGTTTATAGTTTTTATTAAACTGAATGTTTTACATTATGTTATGTTATAGCCTAAGGGTTACTTTAAAATAATTTTATGAAAACTAATTTTTCACTATAATTTTCGCAAATGAAACTGCTGATGATTTCCTGCTTCTTAGGTTGTTTTTTTCTCTTCTTTTACTGGTTAAGCTCAATCACTAATAATTCCACGTGATTAGTTCTTAGAGAAAGTTTAGTTTCTGACTTTTTAAATTTTTAAATCCTGGGTGAAAAGAGATTGTTGAATAATAATTCTTTTTCCTTGAAAGGTGCTTTACTTCAGATTCTTACCTTTTCTCCATCTGGAAGATAATTACATTCCTTAAGGGATGAAATTTAACTATGACTTACTCAAATGCAGTTTAATTCAGTTCTTATGCAAAATGTGTTTTGGGTGTTTTTCCTTTGTGAACCTTTTAAAATGCTATTAAAGAATAAAACTTAGCTTTTAAAAAACAATATAGATAAATGGAGCTGTTCTTATACAAAGTTGCATTCTGCATTTAGACTATCTACCTTTCCAGCTCTTGGCTTGGTGATTTAATCTATAGTTACTTTCTTCCTCCCTGAAACCTTACTCCTTTTGACTTTCTCTTGGCTTTGAGGTGACTGACTTTTGGTGCTTGAAGACTGCCAGTGGAGCGTAAGCTGGGGTAGTTATGGCATTCAGTAATAGACTACATATGTGTCCAAGGACTGACCTAGCTGAGCGCATACTAGATCATCTCACTCTCAGCTGCATGAAATGTCGGAGATCTCTGTTAGTGGACAGGAAGTATCCTCAATGATGGAATCTTGGAGCTTTTGAAATTTAAAAGATAATAACTTTCATAATTCCTTTAAAAATTTCACAGGCATGACAAGATTACAGAATTGAATTCTTCTTTTGTAGGTTTCCTCTTACGCGACCTGATCTTTGTAAAAAATGGGAGGCTGCTGTCAGAAGAAAAAACTTTAAACCCAGCAAATACAGCAGTATTTGTTCAGAACACTTTACTCCAGACTGCTTTAAGAGAGAATGCAACAATAAGCTACTGAAGGAGAATGCTGTACCCACAATATTTTGTTTTACTGAACCAGAAGACAAGGTAATAATGATTTTTTAAGTTAAAAAATGGTCTTATTAATTTTAAATGGTTTCAGGCATAGTTACTTAATCCACTTTTGCATCTTACTCCAAGGTTATAGTATGCCTAAACAAATATGACGCTATACTTTGTTTTTCTGTTAATCAGCTGAAAGTTCAGTCTCAATATATTTTTCTTCTTAAATGATTGTCCACAAATCTTTATTTTATACGCCCCTTTACATAAAATTTACATAAAAATGAGGTTAAAATTTTAAAACCTTCAGTTCCTTCAAGAGAGAAGTCTTTTAACTATGCTTCAAATGATGACATTTAGGTTATTCATGCTGGCTATTGAGGTCAGTTTTATTTTGAATTACTAAATTACTTTGCCCTATTGTTTTAGAATGAGGACCTCATGGAGCAACGAGAACAGCTCCCACCCCGTCCTCTAACGCCTCCTGTTTCCCAAGTTGATGCTGCTCTTGGATTATTGATGCCACCTCTTCACACCCCTAATAATCTTGCAGTTTTCTGTGACCACAACTACACTGTAGAAGATACAGTGCATCAAAGGAAAAGGATTCAGCAGCTTGAAGAACAAGTGGAAAAACTTAGAAAGAAGCTCAAGACTGCTCAGCAGCGATGCCGAAGACAAGAGCGGCAGCTGGAAAAGCTCAAGGAGGTTGTGCAGTTTCAGAAAGAAAAGGATGCATTATCTGGAAGGGGCTATGTGATTCTGCCCAATGACTACTATGAAATAGTAGAAGTTCCAGCATGAAAACATCCACACACATTGAGGGGTCTGTATTACAGGGCCTCATCAGATGAACAGGAGATTCGTTTGGAAAATTAAACATTCTTAATTTCCTTATGTAAAAGCACTTCAGGACTTTAAAACAATAAAGTGGATACGAAATGTTAAAATGTAAATTTTGTCCATAGTAATTTTAGTTTTTTTACAATTTGACAAATTTTAAAAGTTATAGACTAACCTCAGAGTGACAAGTTTATAATACCTGTTCTAAGATAGATTTTTTTTTCTATTTTCAGTATTTATAGAAATAGTATATCTGAAGTGAAAAGAATTTCATGCAGTAAAAATGATGTAAGTCTGAAATGAAAAATATTGAAATCTGTTGGTTGAAAGAACTGGTGATGATTTAAATAGAAAGTATGGGTCAGATCACGAAACATACCTTGTCAGCATAAATTGACTATATTTTCAAATTAGTTTATTCATCTCTCTGCATCAGTTGGCTAGGCTGTGTTTTGTGTCAAAGGTTTAGTTGTCTCTGGGAAGGAAAATATTAAAATGCTCTCAGATTTGACAGTTAATTCTTTTCTCCATTCTCTGCATACTTTTGCCTAAAATGTTTTCACATTGTAATGACTCAAGAATTTTTCAATACTGGTAATCTTTACTTTACAGAGTAGATATATTCTAGCTCTGTTGACCATAAAATGAATTTCTTTAAGGATTCTACTTACCTTCTCTACCCCTCAACCCCATTCCTGTTATGACATGTTTCCGCAAGGGGAAAAAAAAAAACTGAGTGAACTATTAAAATTTTTTGGCAAGGAAGGGATAAAGATGGTATCTAGATCTTGACATACTCTTGGATCATTTCTCCTCATCCCTTTTGGACTGAGTTTTATAATGTGTTAATAGTGCTGATCAGTAATATCATTCTTCAGTAAGTATACCATCTTTATGGACTCTATAACCTAAAATTCCCTTAGGTTCCATTCAAATAGAAAAAAAAATTAGTTTTTAAAATTTTCTACTTTATCATAACAATAGTAATAATAACAGCTCACTTTCTTATCTAGCACTTTAAAGTTTACAAAGCTTGTGTTTTCTCAGTTTAAGTGCTAAATTCTTTATATCAAGTTTTCTAAAAATGAGGGGAAATAGATTTAAAAAATAATCTGATTAATACTTCATTTACCTTTTTATTAAATGTGGTTTAACCACAAAGTTTCTTAGTAGAACTTTTAAGAATTGGATTCTGACTTAGATTTGCCCATAAAGAAGACTGGTGAAACAGGGGACCATTCTATAAGAAGACTTAGAAATGCATTCCTGGGTAGCCAGATCAATCAGCAAGTATTTATTAAGTACCTACTATGTGCCTAGCACTGTGCTGGCCATTTAAAAACAAAAATTAAATCCCTACCCTCAAAGAGCTTACATTTTATTTGGGAAGGACTTATACGTGTCTAAGCATATAAGCGACACAATGCAGTAAAAAAAATTTGACAGTCCCTCCTCAACTCTGCCATCCTTTCCTAGGGCTACCCACCTCTCTGACATTTTATCTAGATAGAGTATTACCTTATGCCAGATATGCCAGTGTTTGAAACCAAAATGTGTTCCAAACTACTGCCCATATGGAGAAGTTTAAGCATTAGACTTCCATGTTTAACATTTAAGAATATTTTTAAAGTACATTGAATAATGACCCTATTATTGATAGAGCTGGATTGAATAGGGGTTAGAGCTATGACTTCATTAGTATAGGGAACGTGGAAGTTGAGGGAACTGCCCATGCACCTTGGCACCTTCTTTACAACTTAAAATCTTAGTTCCCCAGAATACTGAGAAGTTAAATGACTTATGCAGGATCACACAGCTAGGCCAGCTCTATGCACTCTACTATACTATCCAGTTAAAATATGGGAATCACAGGTTCTCAGTTACTTATCTAGGCATAGCCTTTTGGTCTTGGATTCACAGTGGCTTAATTTTTCTAAGGAATCAGTGAAAAAACTAGAAGTATTAAAATTAATTATTTGAACCATGTTCATTCTTCGCTGATAGCTATCACCTCAGCATTAGTTTTGAATTGAAATTAGAAAACTATCTCTAGCCATGCCTGGACCTTAGGCTACTGATGAAGTAAAAACTATTGCTAAACATTATTTTGCTTTCATGTGTTCCCCTCAGCACTTGTTAAAGAATATGGATGGGTAAATGATTTACTCTGTCTTCTTTACATCATCAACTTGAGGTTGTTTCTATGCAAAAATCTGTCACTATGTTTTCAATCAGGATTTTCTCTCAAACTTCACGTTGAATTAGGACTAAATATTCAACTTAATATAGAGATAAAAACCATAATGACATAGCATTTTATTTTATTTTTAACTCTCTTGCCTTATCAGAAATAAGTACCCATCTAGAGAGAACTGAACTATTAACACCTACTTATCTTTAAAATCTGTTAATGCTTTACTGCAGGTATTCTTAACCTTTTTTTTTTTTTAAATGTGTAATGGACCCTTTTGGCAGTCTGGTGAAGCCTATGTACCCCTTTTCAGAATAATGTTTCTAAATGCATGAAATAAAATACATAGGACCACAGAGGAAACCAATTATATTGACATATAGTTACAAAAACATTTTCTAGCCAAACAAGTTCATGGATCCCAGGTTAACAACCTCTGATATATAAGATGAATTTGGAGTTCAGCTGATTGTTTCTGATTTTTGAGAGACCTAACTTTTAAAATGCAAATTGTTGATGTAAACTTTGTTGTTTTGATGTCAAAAAGAGTAAGACTTTTAGTCTGAAAAAGTTTCTGTAAAAGCACAATACAGTAAAACTTCATTAATTTGGGCAATTTGAGGAGACCAATATGAATTGTAGAATATTTTTTAAATAGATGCAATCACCGATGGTGGTAGAACATGCCTGTAATCCCTGCTATCAGAGGAGGCGGGTTCAGGTGGATCACTTGAGTCTGGGAATTATAAGCTACAGTAAGGCTAAAGCCAAGCAGGTGTTCACACTAAGACCAGTACTAGTAGTGGGAGAGGAGTAGGCCACCAGTCTACCCAAGGTGGGCAGGCTCAGATCAGGAACGAGTCAGTAATTGATCAATAAGTGGATCAGCTTGTCAATGAACAGATAGGAGGATAGCCTCAAAAAATTTAGTCTTAGAAATTTTAACTACACACTGTTTCCATTATGTTTCATGGGCTCTAAATCCTAGAAAGGGCCTACTAGATCTGTCTCCTTGAATATATAGTTGGTTTGTAAGTTTCAATGTCATTTGCAGGTAAGCAGTTTTAATAAAATTCTTTAAAATTCTTTTGAGTTAAACTTGCCCTTTATAATCTTACATAACTTTTGCTAGTAGACCCTTTCATAAATTCAAATGAACATCTTCCAGATTAGTCCAAATGAAGGAGGTTTTACTGTAATCCAAGTTAGAAGAATATTTTAGCTGTTTACTTAGTGAATTTGTGTTATATGTACTAAAAATTAACTTCCTGTCTCCTTACAATAGGGAAGCATGATGTTTACAAATTATCAGCTGATTGGCCAATTCTTTTAATTTGATGGAAAAAGGAAATAGTTTGTTTATGTTGTTTAAAAAAATTTTTTTTTAACAAGGCAGGTATGTGATTCCTTTCCCCATGGTGCCATACAATGATGGTGAAGCCAGATTGAGATTTGATTTGGGTTGATAGTTTACATTTCTGGGAATATTTAATTATATTTTAAAAACAATAATTCCCCAGCTCCCCAAAAATCCACTTTGCCGCCGTTCTTGTTTTGACATAAATCACATAAAAAGTGATTTACTTAAAAATCTGTAAGGCATTCCAGAATTTTTAAAGTAAAGATGTCATCAGCTGGTAGCAGCATCTATGAGGCAAAACCCAAGCCAGCTGCCCATCCAGCTTTTTCTAGGGGCCTTGTGAAAGTAAATAACCTTTGAAAGTTTCTGCTTTTAGTTTAACTGTATTATTTCAGGTCAGTATTGTGTACAGTGCTATGTTTAAACATTTTAAAATGTTCGTGTGAGGTAAAAATGCCAAAGAACTTGCATAATGGTTTAAGAAGTGAAGATGGACTATATAAAAAGCAAAAATAATTGCACTCCTTTTCTAGGACTATGTGGGATTTGACCATGAAAGATTTTATTCATGTGAAGGACTCATAAATATTTTTAAAGCTGTAACAACCTGCTGACAATCTTAATTTTATTAATTATTCTACTGTCTTGAAATTTTATACTTCCTGTTTTAGTTATTAAGCCAAGATTTCATAATTAATAAACACTGTTAGAGTTGTGCCAAGATCAGTGATACTCAATGAATAAAGGTGTTTTAGGCGATAAAACAGATTGTTGCTGATAAATTTCAGACTTGATACTTACATTGTTTTCAAGAACAAAATTTCACTGAATGAAATACTTGCTTATACTTAAAACTACTTTAATAGGAAATTAAATATTTTAATAAAAAAGTTTTAAAGTATTTGGCTACAAGTATTCAACCAGTCATTTACTACATGTGATGAATGATAGCACCATTGCCTTCTGATAGTGCTTTATTTTTAGAACAGAAAATATCCCAAAGAGCCTTTGTACCACCAGGCCCTAAATAAACTTCGCGATAGGAAAAGTATTATAAATACATCAGGAAATATGAATTCATTCGGCAACACTGTCACCTGCTCACCATAGAAACTTAAGCCAGTCATTAAACTTTACCAATGAGAAAATAGGTCCAAGAAAAGGTTACCGACTTCTAAATTTCCTTCAAACTCTAAAACAAGACTTGATAAATCCAGATACCAACAATTTCCCTGTGGCAACTAGAATTTGCGACTGT